ATCGAAGACTGGCCTCACACTCAGGATCCTCCTGCCTCAGCCTCCCAAGTGCTGGGATTATAGGCATATGCCACTGCGCTCGGCTCCAGGGTCTTTAAATCTAGCTCCAAGCCAAAACCCCCATGTCTCAGGCCTTGGGGCTTTTGAATGACAGGTACTTTACCTTCAACAATTTTCTCGTAGCAACATAAAACAAACATCACCAGAACCAAGTGCGTATTTGCTGTGCAATTCTGAAGGTGCGGATGCCGTCAGTCTGTCATTGCTGTACATATCCCCTCAGCCAACACAGTGTTACTTCTTCTACATTCAGTTCATTTCTCAATTTGTCACATAAAAATGCCCAAAACTTCCAGCATCTCTGACCATTAGAGAAATGCAAATTAAAACAACACTGAGAGTCCCTCTGACTCGAGGAAGAGCAGCCATCATGTAGAAATCAAGTAGTAACAAATGCCGGTGAGGTTGCAGGGAAATATGAGCCCTTCTGCACTGCTGGTGGGAGTGCAAACTGGTGTGATCGCTATGGAAATCTGTATGAAGATTCCTCAGCGAAACCTGAAATTCCATTTGGCCCAGCTATTCCCCTTCTAGGTATCTTCCTGAAAGAGTTTAAGATGTCACGTTACAGTGGTCCATGCACACTGGTGTGTTTATAGCGGCATAACTCACAATAACTAAATCTTGGAAGCAGCCTGTATGTCCATCAGCAGATGAATGGATAAAGAAAATGTGGTACCGAAACATGATGGAGTACTACTCTGCCACAAAGAAGGATAAACTTGGTCATTTGAAGGAAAGTGGGTGCACTTTGAGACAACTACCCCAGCCAATGTGGGTTCACCACCTCTGGAAAGACAAACTTCTTTCATAAAATACTATGTGGAGAGACTATGTGATGAAGGGCATTCTGGTGAGCAGCAATTCATGGAGGAGAATTAATTTCCTATGTCCTTTTAATATTAGCTGATCTAATCCCCATTGCTGCTCTACAATTGTGGTGGCTTAAAACAGCGGATGCTTTTTATCTAACAGTCCTGAGGGCCAGAAGTCTGAGCCGGGTGTCCTGGGCTAAGATCAGGTGCTGCAGGGAGGGTTCCTTCCTCAGCAGTCTCGGGGTCCCCATTTCCTGGGTTCCCCCACTTCTGCGGTTGCACAGATTCCCAGCTCATGGCCCTCCAACTGTGAAGCCAACAGTGGCCACCATGCCTGTCTCACATGGCATCCACTGTCAGCTCCTCTGTCCGCTCTTCCACATCAGATCCCCTCTGACTCTGCTGGGGCCCCCCAGATAGCCCAGGTGATCCCACTGATTAAGGGAGATCAGCTGATCAACTTCCCTCACTCCCAACCCTAGTCCGCCGGGCCCATTCCCAGGCTGCAGAGAGCAGAACGGGCCGCCCTGCAGGCAGATTCTTCTGCCTGCTTCAATGTCTGTTTTCTCTTTTTCCTACTTCGTCCACAAACATGGCTTTCGAGATGTTCATCTTGCTTTGCGAATCAGCATCAGAACCAGCCAGCCCACAGGAATACACTACAATATTTGCTTTAAAAGCAGGAATTCAATCCAGTAAAGCAATTCCTGCTCTCTCTTTCTTCCTCGTAATCAATCATGTAAATGAGCGGTGTTGTGGGACAAGTGAGACACGTCTGCGGGAAGACCTTGTGGATTTTCCTAAACACCAGGCCAGCATCTGAAGCCTTCCTTGCTTCCCCAGCAGCAGCTGGCTCGTGCACCTTGACGCCTTCGGCCGCCTTCACTGCTCACTCACACCCCCACGCTCTGCAGAGTTGCCTCTGCTTTGGGGACACTTTCAATCTGGCATTTCTCTTCTACTAAATCCTTCATCGCTGGCGTGCCGAAGCCCGCTCCTCACTTCTGTCCAGTTTTCCTTTTCCAGCTCCCCTGCCAGGGCTTCTCAGCTAATTCCAACACATGATGCAGTTCGAATATCACCTCTTCTCCTGATCTCTTCCCCTTAAACTCCTTTGCAGCCGTCTCCAGGCAGAGGTCCTCGACACCTTAAGCTTCAAGGATGCATCTGAGGCTGAACCTGTTACCTTCTGCTCTATAAATATTGCGCCACTAGGGCCGGGGATTTAGCTCAGTGGTTTCGCCGCCTGCTGCGCAAGCGCAAGGACCCGAGTTCGATCCCCGGTACCAAAAAAAAAAAAAAAAAATACTGCACCATCTGTTCATCTCTTCAGCAGAGGCCTACTCCAGGGGAAGCAGCGTTTCGAGCTGGAGATGCAAATACTGCGGCAGACTCAGGAACACATCACCCAGAGCCGCCCCAGTGCGGGGTCCACTCGGCTCCAACAAGAGCCAGTGTCCTCTTTGAGGGTGCCCTGTTCCCCGTCTCCACATTCTGCCTGCAAACGAGTTGTGCATTTTCCAGCCCTTCCGTAATTCTCGGGTTAAGGCGCCTCTCCGTGATCACGTGACCTACTTCAGCTACTCGGTGCCTGTTTCCTGAACAATGTACTCTTTGAAGGTCTGGCTTGCCTTATTTATCTGTCTCTTACGCCCTTGTTTGTTACTAGTAGAAGTAATATCATCGGTATTTTTATCAAAGTATTTTTGTAAAAAAAGAGCGTTGCTAAAGTCTCCCACAGTCTGCTGTCCATAGGCTCACCCAGCCTTACTCTGCACCCCAACCCCGCAGCATTTCTCTTTGATTTATTTGCCTATTCTCCTGTCTCTCTAGTGAGAGCAAGCTGCTTGGAGGCAAAAATCATCATCATGTCATCATCATCATATCATCATCATCTCATTCAGCTTGTCTCTTGACCTGGACACAGAACGCACCCCCGTTAAGTGCTCAATTAAAACTAAACTTGGCCATGCATGTCCGGTGTGCAGCCTCTTTGGAGGATCCCGGAAGAACCCCGAGGCCAATCGCCGCCTGAGCAACCATTCTGAATTAAGCCGGCTGACACGCAGCTCTGGGGGTTTGTGGTCTGCTCCACTTCGCTCCTTGGGACCTGCATCTCGCATCCTTGAGTTTAGAGAGCGTTATCTAGGATTCCCATTATTGCTCTTCCAGCCGTCCCCACTGAAAATACTCTTTATCCAGTGTAAACAAGAGGAGCAGAATTTGTCTACGAACTGCGTGCCGTGTGTTCGGTGAAGCAGTGGGAAATGCGCTCATGAGAGGTATTTCCCTCCAGCACTGCAGCTCTGCAGGAGAATCATGTTTGTCCAGCATGTCACGTTACGCACACTGGACTGTGGGGGACACCTACTCCAGAGCTCGCAAAGCTTTCTGTAAAGGGACAGACTGGTTTGGAGGGACACACACATCAGTCATCACTGCTCAACTCTGCCACTGTAGAATGAAAGCACAAACAAGTGTGCGTGGCTGTGCTCCAATAAAACTTAATGGAATCAACAACTGAGACCTCATCATATTAAAAAGCCTTCGCACAGCAAGAGAAACCACCAACCGAGTGAAGAGAAAACCCACAGTGTGGGAAAAAAATTTACCAGCTATTCCTCAGACAAAGGACTACTCTCTAGAATATATAAAGAACTAAAAAAAACAGGCCCCCAAATTTAAAGACCCAATCCAAAAATGGGCATCTGAAATGGACACTTCTCAGAAGAAGAAGTAGAAAAGGCAAATAAACATAAGAAAAAATGTTCAACATCACTGGTCATTTGAGAGATGCAAATGAAAACAACACTGAGATTCTACCTCACCCCAGAAAGAATGGCTGCTATCAAGAAATCAGCCAATAACACATGCTGGCAGGGCTGTGGGGAAAGAGGAACCCTGCTCCACTGTTGGTGCGAGTGCAGACTGGTGCAGCCTCTGTGGAAATCAGTACGGAGATACCTCAAAGAACTAGGGCTAGAGGTCCCATTTGACCCAGCTATTCCCCTGCTTGGTATCTTCCCCAAAGAATTAAAAGCATCATACCACAGAGATATATGCACACCCATGTTTATAGCAGCAGAGTTTGTAATAACTAAATCTTGAAAACAGCCCAAATGCCCATCAACTGACAAGTGGATAAAGAAGATGTGTTTTTTTATACAATGGAGTACTACTCAGCCATAAAGAAGAATGAGCTTCAGACATTTATAGCTAAATGGATGGACCTTGAGCCCGTACTCTTAAGTGAAATAAACCAGACACACATGTTTAAATACCACATTGTTTCTCTGGTGTGAGAAACAGATAGTGGAAATAAGGACTAAAATATATAATACATATTAGATATTGAGAAATGGTAAGAAAATATTCAAATGGGAAGAGGAACAGGGAGGGGAGAGAGAGAAAGGAAGGGACGTGAAAATAGAAGGAAAAAATGGAAACAAAACTTTTGTACATAGGGAGGGAGAGGACTTGGGGGGGATAAAAAAACTTTGTGTATAAAAGCAGCCCATGGGCCAGATGTGGCCCATGGACAGTAGTGTTTCAACTGCAGATTTCCTTTATAAAAATGAGTGAAATCAAAAATAGAACTACAGGTCCCAGTAATGCAAAATGTAGATTTCACAAAGTTCAATGAAAATAAAGTGAGCAGCCATTTAAAAACAGTTAAAGTGGCAAATCAGTAGCTTCCTTCGTGCTCTTCACCTTAGACCACGTGCTCAGTTTTAAGGAAAGAAGCAAAACAGAGCAGGGATAGAGCAGCAGAAACACTCGGCAGACCTCGGAGACAAGGCACGGTTAGACCCCACACACACTCGAGCGCAGCGCTTTACCGAGAACTGACTTCACGACGCACAAGTCTGATTTTCACGGTGAAACTCAGCCTCTCAGGAGGGCTTTAACTCACGACCACAGGGTGGCCGAGTCCGCACCGTGAAGCAGGTCTTCATCAAGTCACAGCATTTCCACAGCACAAACGCTTGGCAAAACAGTAAAAGCCGAAGTGTTCCCTGCCTAGAAACACAGCTGGACCAAGAATGTCCATGAGAATACATTTTTCAAAAATGATAATCAGAACCAAGAGGGCTGGACTCCGAAATCTTTAATGTTTTCAATTACCTTGACCTTGGACGACGCTGCAGAAATAAGCAGCTGCCACGCAAGCTGGAATCAGCCAGTACCGCATCTTGCACTGAAGAATCTTCATTGTATTTTCTGACTTTTACATGGGGTGTAGCAGCTGTCTGGAAACAGACACAGGAACATTTTTGAGAAGACTGGAAACAAGGAAATGCAGTTGATGTAGGACAGGCCGAGCGCGGCCAACCCGGATTAGCACTGGCAGGAAGTAACCAGTCCCCTGAGCACCTCGGACTTCACTCTGAAATGCAAACTGATGGAAGAAGGATTTTTCTGAGATGTCGTAAATGGAGAGGCCATTTGGAGTACTGGGGAGAGAAGATCGGGCTGTACCTTGCTACTCTTCTGTAAGAATATAAATTGCATAGTGAGGTTCTCAGATAGATAAATTCCATAAATTTACCTGGAATGAGCATTCTAATGGATTACAGTTGCCCTTCCGGTCATGTGCCCCTCTCACATTCATGACAGCCTTAGACCTCTTACTGTCGCCTGATGTTGCCAACACAGTACAAACAGATAGGTTCTTTCTACTCCTGTCAAAGAGAATTCGCAAACCCATTTGCGCTAATATGAAATCACTGCAATCAGCTTTCTCCATTTGGGTTGAACAAATGCTAATCCTTTTGTCTTTTCTCATAGCTCTTTATTTTTTAATATGTGTGAATCTAAAACTTTTCCAATTTTTTCTTTTTTGTTAGAATAGCAATGCAGAGCATCAAAAAAAGAGAGAAAGAAAAGGAAAAAGAGACAAGGAAAGAAGAAAAAAGAAAAGGAGAGAAGGGGGAAAGAAAGCAGAAAAAAAAAGAGGCAGAAAGACATAGTGTTTGATTTTTTTGAGACAGGGTCTCCCTGTAGTCCAGGCTGGCCTTGAACTCACTATGTATCCCAGGCTGACCTCAAATTCACTGTGATCCTCCTGCCTCAGCCTCCTGAGTGCTAGGATTATAGGCACGTACCACCACGCCTGGCCTGTTTGGAATTAAGTTTAAAAGCCAGTCTACAGGGCTGGGGATTTAGCTCAATGGCACTGTGCCTGCCTGGAAAGCACAAGGTCCTGAATTCGATCCCCGGAACCACACACACACACACACACACACACACACACAAAGCCAGTCTACAAACTACATTTCTGTTCAGGGAAGAAATTCCAAGTTTTTTCCTTGGAAATTAAGAAGACACCTCAAAAATTCTTCACCCCCCATCGAGTGTATTTTCATTCAAATAGCCATTCAATTATTTACTCATTCATTTATTCCCAACATCGTTCAGCAAAGAACCTAGGCTAGTCAAATAACACATAAATGTAATCTATAAGATATTGGTATGGTTAACAAATAAAGGACTCCACTTGAATTTTAATTTAAGATAAATAGCAATTTTTCAGTATAAGTATATCCCATGCAATATTTGAGATATATTTAATAGAAAAGTATAACTTGCTGTCCATCTGAAATTAAAATGTGATTGACTACCCTGTTTTTTACTGGCAGCCCTAGCAGAAGGGGGAATTAAGTGGGAAAATAATAACGAAGGAAATGGGCAGAGAACGTGCATTGGGTCCTGTGTATGGTAGAGATGACTGTGAATTTGGCCCTTCACTGAGGAACGGGAGGCCAAAGAGAGAAGGAACATGGTAAGTTTTAAGGCTCACTATATTATCTGATTAAATTTTAGGACACATTTTTCTGCAGACATGCAGGTTTTCCTGATACCAGAAGCTGAGTAGAATTTTCCCCATGGCTCATCCAAAAAAAGGTCTCTGCGCTTTATTCACCCTAATATGTATTGATCCCTTGGCATCTGTGGAGGCTGCTCCCTCCCAGTCCTTCGCCTGTGCTAACTCCTTTTCCACACAGCCACATAGAGTTGCCTCGGTCATGCAGCCGTGAGCTCAGCACCCAGGATTAACACACACGGTCATGCTGGGGATTTATCTCAGTGGTTCCAGCGCCTGCCTCGCAAGCGCAAGGTCCCAAGTTCGATCCCTGGTACCAAATAAATAAATAAATAAATAAAAGAATGCCAGGGAACACACACGGTCATGACCAGACCACTGAGTGTCTTAGGAAAGCATCTCCACACCACCCTTCATATCACTCTCTTTCCATCTCACAATATATTTTCTTGCTCTGCTTACAAAAATTGTCAGTCCCCACCCCCAATACCGGGGATCGAACTCAGGACCTTGTGCCTTCAAGGCAGGAGGGACGCCACTCAGCTACATCCCCAGGTGAAAAATTATAAGTTTTAACACATGAAAGTAAAACAAAGAGTACAAACCTTTTGCTGTTTTTTCCTTACTGAAGTGTAAACAGCTCTTGATAATGGTAAATATCCTTTCACAATTTAGTTGGTGGTATCACAACTTTTATATATGCAAACTTTGTATTTGTTTTTGTATCTCCCTAATATATATAACACTGCAGTGACCATTTTTATTCACTGCTCCTTGGGTTATCTGGTTAGTGATTTACTTTGGCTAAATTCTCAATGGTGGAAATTGCTAGGAAAAACAAGATACAGTTTTTAAAAAATTTTTAAAGATATGTACACAATGCTTTAGGGAAAATTATACTGATATCCAGTCCCACTACCACAAGTACAGCATCGCATACTTCACCACCATAGCGGTTGATTGTTTTCAACATATTCTGATTTATTTGGTAAAATATGATTATGACCATATCATCTTAATTTGATTTTCCTAAGCAGTAAAATGTAACATTTGTTTTGTTGGCCATTTACACCTCTAACGAAATAATATCTGTCCGTGACGTTTACTATTTTCTTATTCATTTACATGAAATCTTGGCACATAGCTAGTTTAGACTCATACAAAGTATGATCAAAAAACATAGCTAACGTTCTTAAATTTGTCAGATGTATTTAAAAGACGCACTGCCAGTAACCCCTCAAAATACTCCCTTTCGATCACACTTATCCTGTCGCTCTTGCACCTTCTGAAGCAGCTCTGGACGTCCTCTCTCATGAGTGTCTTTGGTTGCACTGTGGTGGCTGCCACCGTGTCCTGAACTCATTCAAATCATTTACCTTTCACGATCATTTTAACTTTGAGCAAAAGCCAGAAGTTGCGCCAGGCCGGATCCTGTGAATAAGGTGGATGAGAACACACAGTAATATTATTGTAAGCCTGCTTTTCCATTGGATGGCACTGGGCAGCAGCATTCACTGTATCTATTATCAGACCTCATAAAGACACTCACAAAAGAGCACTCCAGAACTGCTGCAGAAAGTGGCAAGAGCAATGGGCTAAGTGAATTTGAAGTGAGGGGAGGATTTGGGGGAGGATGGGTAGCAATGCCTCAGTGCAACTAAGCCTTTATTTAAACACACACTGTATTTTTTTCACACACTGTATTTTTTGATCAGCCCTTGTATATATTACATTATTTTTCCAGTTTGTTTTTATGTTTCAATTTCATTTATTGGATTGAGTTGTTTTTGTTTGTTTTGTTCTTTACTTAAGAAATCTGACAAATCTTTTTCCTTTATGGTTCCTAAATCAGTGTCATAGGTAAAATAGACTTTCTTATCCCAAAGTATATTTCCAGTTACTATAATTTTTTAGTCCCCATTGTGAATAGATTCAACACTACATTGCCCGATGGACATTTTGGGACTATTTTTTAACATAGAAAAGATATTGGTTTTTATATATATACTTTACAATGATCTACTATTCTGAATTCCTGGTAGCTCTATGTGATTTTCAGTTTAGTCTCTTGGATTTAAAAAAGAAATTTAACCAATGTGATTTTCTTATTGCATAGGTGAGTAATTTTAAAATTTATTTTACTACAGATGTCTCAAATATTTTACCACTGGATATATTGCTGGCAGTTGGGTTCGGATACATTTTCATTTAATGTTAAAAAACTTAAGGGCCAGGAATTTAGCTCAGTGGTTCCGGTGCCTGCCTTGCACACACAAGGACCCGAGTTCAATCCCCGGTACCAAAAAAGAAAAAAAGTTAAAAAGCTTAACTTTGAGCCGGGGATTTAGCTCAGTGGTTCTGGCACCTGCCTCGAAAGCGCAAGGTCCTGAGTTCGATTCCCAGTACCAAAAAAAAAAAGCTTAACTTTGACTTGACTATATTAGAGCATTTTTTTTTCAAAAACGAATGGAGGCTAGCCAGTCAGGGTGGTGCATACCTATAATCCTAGCACTGTGGGAGGGTGAAGCAGGAAGATCCCAAGTTCTAGCTCAGCCTGGGCAACTTGGCAACTTTGCAAGACTTTGCAGCAAAAATAAATACATACATAAATAAATAAGAGCTGGTGATGTAGCTCAGTGTGAAAGGCCTGGCTTCAACACCCAGCATCAAAGAAAAAAAGAATGTTGCTGAATCTTTCCTTTATCTTTATGACTCTTCATCCATTGAGATGTTCATATTCCTCATCTTGACCTCTCAGTGTAATTATTTTGATATGTTTAGTATCCACCTATCTGTGCAATTCAGAAGTAAATCCCTTATTTGTGTCCATTTTTTTTAACCTTACTGCAATTACAATGGTCTTGGCTTTCAGGCCAAGCCTCTCCTGCACAGAATGGCTGTGTCTTATCACTTCTGTAAAGAAGATTCTGGTAATTAGAGTTAATTATTGAGTCATTGGTTAATTACATTTTTTTATTACATTCTTGAATAACAGAGGCCACTCAGGATTCCTTCTCTCCAACTCTTGCAAACTGATGAAATGCGAGCACTCTTTGATGTTCAGAATGATTTATCCAGATGTTTCAAGCCCTCTCATGCTGGTAATTTCCTCTATTGCAGTTAAGTGTCTGTGATAGTAAATGGACTGACGTTAATTGCAAATTTAACCAACTTTGTCTGGTTGTAGGGCGTGAGAATTGGAAACCTCTGAGCAACGAGAGTGAAAGTACTATGCTAAGTGTCTTCAGCTTCACATGGGGCAGAGTGGCTTTTTAAATTCATCACAACAGTATTTAGACCACATTAAATTCGTCCAGTATTCCCACACTGCCGCTTCCCTGTCTGTCACAGTTGCAGGCCCACATAACCTAGCCTCCTCCTCTTTTTACTTCTTTATCTACAAGGCTTTAGAGGAGACTCTTGAAC